TATTTGAAAGTGAAACAGCATGTTTTTTTTCCATGTTAAAGTTATAAGACTCTGATATTAGCATTAGCACATTGCAGAGTGACTTTCGGCAGACTTGATTAACAATTTCATGAAATAATATGTAAGAGAAAATTGTCCATTGACAAACATTGTCATTTGGTATTTTCAAACCTCCACGATTTATTTCTTCAGTATAACCACCAAATTCTGCATAATAAAATTTAGCATCTTCTTGTTCTTCAACATCATTTCGCACAATATATCCAGCTATATATACCAATCCTGCTTTGGTATCTATTTGAACACTATTTTCAAGTTCAGGCAAATTATCAAATATATCAATAGCATTACTGCTAAGTAAGAACCCACATTTTTGACAGCTATGTCCACTTTCTGCAGATAAAGAATCAATGTCTATTCCAATTTGGAGACTTAATTTGGCTCTTTGAGTTTTTACTTTTTCAATCACTTGTTGAACATTGATAAAATATGTTCCTCCAGAACCTTGTCGAAGTTTTCCGAACATTTTTTCTAGTGGGTCAGTTGTAAATTTTCCCAGTATAACATACTTAAACGAATGTTGGAGCAAAAATTTAGTAATGGCAACTAAACCACGACATGTATGAGCTAAAGCTGCACCTGTATCTCTGGTTAGCTGAAATTGTCTTTTGCACTGTTTGCTGGTCATTTGTTCTACCATTGTTGCAAGATTAAGTAAAAATGTCAGTCTAGCATCTCCTGAAGTTGATATAACTGCTCTACCTGGATCTTTATATCGAATATCAGCATACAGTCCTTTTGTATTAACAATTTTCCAGAATTTCACAAATATTTCAAGTAAAGTAATGGTGCCTTCTGCTTCTTTTATGTTACTGTTGGATTTTAAAGCAGTTGCAGTTTCATCACAAAAGACTTGTAAGCAAGTAGACACCTTTTGTCTTTCAATAGGTTTTGGTGCAACAGACACACTTGTAAGTTTAGACAATTTTACGATGTTATTTTCTTCAAGCCTGAACAAACTTAAGATATTAGACCAGCATGCATATTTAGTTTTCCCTTCATGTTCATAACATAGCTTTTGACTTTTTTCTGTAACCCAGTTATTACAGACAGATTTAAGAAGATGGACAAAGTCATATAACAAGAACATATTGTCTTTAGTTAACCATGGCTCATCACAATCAAACATTTTAAATAGTGCTTGATTTACACGGTTATTGTCGCATATTAAGGCTACCGGTATTCCTCCTGCACTCTTTATTCCCTCTAAAACAAATTGAGTTTTTCAAACAGAAATTTAGAATCAAGCTCACAGACTGGTAAAATTCTGCAAAGATATTGTGGTCCTCCGTAAAGCGATACTAACATAAAACTTAAAACAGTAGTTTCTAAAGACTCTGGTTTATTTACCGCTTTACCAAAGACTGAGCCAGCATGATAAGTAAGAGATGATTTGACATAAACTTCGTCAATTAAAATCATACAATTTTTTCGCATTTCATTTTCAAGCTTAGAATAAACTGATTTAAACATAGATTATCCTGGCCATATTATAAAAATCCGGAAACTTTTTTTCTTTAAATATCCGGAAAAATTCGGATAATTTTTTTGTAATATCCGGAAAAAATCCGGAATTTACAAAGAGATGTTAACAAGGAAGGAGGGGGCGTGCTTTCGTCCATTCTTTTTTATTACTATAATATTACGCCAGTTTAAGAGTATCCTTATTCACCGTATATATGAATAAAAAACAACATAGTTTTTTCATCAAAAAAAGAATAATAATAATGATATTTTAACAATAATAATAATAAGAAGAAGATAAAGTCAAAGAAGAAGTAGAAAACTATATATAAAAGCTGTTAAACAATGCGGAAACTTTTTTAGACATGCACTTATACATTTAAATACATAATGGATAATGAAATATTGCTTCAATTCACCAAAGATATTCAAATAGATAAACGTTTAACGCGTTGTTAGAGATCAGAGGCGCCACCATAACTGAAATCCCATGGGCGTTATTTGAGCGTTTTGGTTTTTTGTAGTAATTTTGCAAAATAAACCGAAATATATCCGAGACTTTTGCTTGGCAACTTCTTTCAGTAAATATTTTATTACCAGTAAAACACAAACTTTTGGAAAATATAAATGAAATTTATTTTAACTATTTTCGGAGCATACTTCAATCGCAGTAAAAAGAAAGGAACTAATAATAATAATAAACACCAGACTTCTAAAATACAAAAAAATAGAAATCTTTAGTAATAAATATGTTAAAAAAGAAAATAAATAAATAAAAGTAAAAAGATATTGAATTATTTTTCTGTAATCAGTTAGTTTTCTACAATTAGTTCTTCCACTCAGTGTTTAAAATGTTTTAAACTTATTTTACAATACAAAGTTTTCTTTTATAAAAAAATCTCCATATTCATTAACTAAAAAAGTTTAAACGTTCGTTAGATATAGTTTAAATTTTAAGTTTATTTTAACTATGATAAACAAAAGGTGAAGCATTATTAATGATTCACGTGATCATTCATGTGATTTAAAATTTAAAAGATTTAACAAAATGATTTTTTTAAAATCGTTTAAATTTAAAAAAACAAACATATTTTTAAATCTTTTTAAAAAAATGATTTTTTTTTAGAAAATATAATTAATTTTAACAGGAGCTTTTTAAATAGAAAAGAAAACATGCCTCAAAATGCGATGTTTTTAAAAACCTAGTAATGGCATTTAAAAGCAATTTGATTCACTTGACCTTTAGTCAAAGTACATTTTTCAGTCCAACATAGTAACTACCATAATATCTATAAATGATCACTAAAAAAGGTTTACTCTAATACATGGGGTGACTTTAGCCCGGGCCAATGTCACCCTATGTAGTGGGCCAAAGACAACCTATTTTTTTTTAACCTCAATTACAAAAAAGTAATAAACTGTTAAGCTTTCAAAACAAGATAAAGTTAAAAACTAATGGTTTTTGAATTGAAAAGAAAACGTGCCTCAAAATGCGATGTTTTTAAAAACCTAGTAATGGCATTTAAAAGAAATTTGATTGACTTGACTTTTAGTCAAAGTACATATGTTTAGATTTCATTAAAATAATTACATAGAATAAAGTCCTTATAGTTTAGAATATAGTTTTATTATATAACACTTATTTGTATGAAATAACTTATTATTAACAAAGTAATTAATCTTAGCCAGTAATAATAAGTTTTTTTTATAAGTTTTTTTTACCCTTTACGAAAACAAGTTGTACCGCACGACCATAATGTTACACAACGGTATTATAATAACTGTAAGATTAATAGAAGTTTCTACTAGTTGAAGGTCATACCAAATTTCTTATTCTTAGATCGAACTATTTGTTTCACTGCTCTCTAGAATTAGATTTTACTAATCTCAAAAGAGTTTAAATTTAACGATATTTCTCATATTTGACGGAAATTCAAAACTGATTTCTCTCATAGCTTTTGTAACAGAATTTTTATTTACGATTACCGTTTATTCTACCATCGTCATAACTTTTTAAATACCATCGTCAAAACTTTTTAAAGTCTCCAATTAATAAGAAATTATGCGAAAAAATGATACTTTCAAGAAGTGTGTACGAAAAGAGACTTGCAATGGTACGACAGGACAGAAAACGAAATAATGATGCAGTAAATTTTGAACCACCGACAAACAAACTGAAAAAAGTTTTAGTCCATAAGCGAAGTGATTTACTTAAAAAAAAAGGTTTTTAACAATAAAAAAAGAAATCTCTTTGCTAATAGCTAAAAGAGCTACCGTGAGATTGGATAGCTTTGGCCCATTTTGTATCTTAATGTCTAGTGCATGAAAGTCACAAAAGTTATTTCCTCAAACACAAAGTACTTTTAGAAGTGCATAGAAAGGACAATTAGAACTATCTGTCTCCCATTTGAAAATTATTTACCTGAAGTATCTTTTGGGTGGTTTAAATGGTGGGCCAAAGTCGCCCTATGTGTTAGGGTGACTTTGGCCCAACCCTGTAAAAAGGAACTAAAGGAAGCAAAACAACAATAAAAACAGCAATATTTAAGCAAAGAAAATTAATTTACAAAAATAAAGTGACAAAAAAAGATTTAGTAACAAAGTTCTTGTGTACAGTAAATAAAATATAGGTACAAACTAAACAAGTATAGGTACCAAGTAAACCAAGCAGTTTAGGTATAAAGTAAACAAAAATGACAAAAATAATGTTTTAAAAAATTTAGTGAAAAAATTCTGGAACTGAATAAATCCCTCTTTTCGAAATTTTCTTTGGTTCCTCAATAAAATCGACTATTTCAGACTGGGGAAAAAAAAGTTGCTCTGCTGGTAGTGACCATTTCCAGTTAAGTCCATTTTTTTTCATAATAGTAATTTCTGCTCCATTTTTTCTTAATTTTTTCAACTGCAGAAAAAAAAATTTTGAAAGTTTTTTTAAAATTTTTTTAGTAGTTTTATTAAATAATATTAGTTATTAAATTAATTAGTTATAAAGTTTACTAATTGATTAGCTAAATATAAATAACTCAAAATAAATAAACAAACCTGTACAGGATTTAACTCTACATTGCATTTAACAATTACATAACAATTCTCAACAAGACTTAATAATTTCTCCTTTTTACAAACATTTTTTGTTTTATCAATATTTTGAAAGTTCTTTTTGCCAAATGCTGAATGATCTAAAGATTCTGTATGACTTTCTACAACTAAACTTACATCTGCAAAAATTAGATTAGAACTCTCAGTAGTTCCAGTATTTGTACTTGGGCCAGCAAAATCAATGTTGTTGGTCTCAATTGTATTTATAATACTGATAGGTGTATCTACATTATTTGAATTTAATCTATTATCTTCATTTATTACACACAATGATATATCTGTTGAACATAAGCTTTTACCTGGGACAGCACATACTTTACGTCGCTTTGGTTTTTTAGAACCATCTGAGGGATCATCCAGTGACTTACATAAGTGATCTAAAAATGATTGGCTACTAAATCAGTAGTTGAGCCTAAACCTACATTACAACATGGTAATCGTGAAAGCACTTGAGACTTGTCTAATGGAAAAATTCCAGTTTTGCAAAAACCAGCTCTAAGGTTATCATTCCCATGTTCATTTAAGTTGGTAATTAAACGGTCTAAAAGTCGAGGAAATTCATGTTTGGGAAGAGAAGCAACTCTCCTTCCTTTTCCTTTCTCCTTCCATTCACATAATATTTTGCGCCTGTTAATCTTCATAGATCTAAAGTAGGCAACATCTAGAGGCTGCGTGAGATGTGTAGAGTTTGCTGGTAATGCCGCAAATCCTATGTTATTGCTTTGACATGTATCCAGTATTGCAATGCTCAAATGTGAAGATACGTTATCACCTATAATGACACTTCTTCCTTGAGCCTTCTTAAGTCTTGGAAGAAGTAAAGAGAAAAACCAGTCCTTAAAACATGTTGAGTCAAACCAACCACTTTTTGATCTGTTATAACTTGCTTTTGGTGGCCCATTTTCTATCCATGTATTCCATAACGACTCAGCTTTGTAAACAACATAAGATGGTAGCAATTCACCATTAGCATTACCGCATAACATTACAGAGAATGAGGTCTTTGTAGAATTAATGATGCGCTCAGGATACTTACATCCACGCTTTGTTAATATTTTTTTTTTTTTACCTGGATCATCACTGAGATTGGTTTCATCATAGTTCCATATATTATCAGGTGATATATTACTTGTTTCATTTGATAGATTTATAAAGTAGTTATCAATTACAGTCGTTCCTATTTCTGCTCTCTTTCGCTTTATGTTGCTTGCAAATCTTACTGAGAGTTCTAGATTTCTTTTTAAAAAAGATCGAATCCAATCACTATCTGGAAAACTATTTTTGAACTGAGGTATAATGACGCCTTTTTTCTCTAAGTACGCATCTTAAATCATATTTATCAACAGGAAAACCAAACTCAGATGATTTTATTGCATATGGCTTAAACATGTCTTCTTCTTTTGATGTAAACATTTGCTGACCACCATAATTTTTAAGATATGTCTGTTTTATTTTATTTTTTAATGTTGATCTTGGTATATCGTATTTCAAAACTGCTTGTCTTTGAGTAATTAAGCCATTCTTTAAATCTTTTAATGCATTGTCTAACTGTTCTAAAGTATTAGTAACATATTTTCTTTTTCCACGATTTGGCTTGTAATTTTGTGGCATATTTAAACTAAGAACTAATCCCATTTCACTATAATTTTATACTGATGTACTAATACAAACTGTTAAACTGATTCTCTATTGCATTACTACTACAAAAATTTTTAGTCCAACATAGTAACTACCATAATATCTATAAATGATCACTAAAAAAGGTTTACTCTAATACATGGGGTGACTTTACCCGGGCCAAATTCACCCTATGTAGTGGGCCAAAGATAACCTATTTTTTTTTAACCTCAATTACAAAAAAGTAATAAAGTGTTAAGCTTTCAAAACAAGATAGAATCAAAAACTAATGGTTTAAAATTAATTCAGTGTATATTCCAATAAAAAACCTTCTACAGGTACTGCTATTGATGTAAAAGTTTACACGCCTAAAAAAATTCGGATTTTAGGTGCTTCTTCTAAAGTGCAATTTACAATAATATCACAAAGACTCGAGTTAAGTAAACTAAGTTAGACTAAATAAATTATAAATTTCCTACAATTTGCTAATAAACATCATCCGGCATACCTTAAGGTATCGATTTTAAACCATTTTTAAACAAAAATTTCGCTTGGGCTAAAGACATCCCGTAGGGCCAAAGCCACCCAATCAATCTTGCGGTATTTAAAAAATGTAAATTTAAAATATTTTTAAAAAAGAGAAGAGTTTGACACGCATCGCTAATTTTATTTTAAAAGTAGGAGATCATTTGCTCTTTTGCGCTGGGATTTGTCTTAAACTTTAATTAAAATGCTTATTAATTTTCGGTTTACTCTGCGAGGGAAATCTTTTAATCTTTTTGGCTTTGTTTGTTAACTAAATATAGCGTTCCGTAATTTATGGACAACAAATTTACTGTTTATATATACTTGTTACTGTTTCATTTGATGGCAGTAATAAACAGAAAAAATTTTATAAATTGTACTTTCAAAAATTATTTAATTATCCGGAAAATATAAAAAAATTTAAAAAATATCCGGAATTCCGGAAATATTCGGAAAAAGATAATTCTTGTTTAAAAAACTCTGTGTCGTTCATTGCAGAATCCAGTTTAGAAGTTAGCTTTGTTAATAGGGAAATACTTGGAAGTCCATAATCTCCACTTAACCTTCCATATAACGATCTCGAAATTGCAAAGTATTCAAATGATCTTACAATAGTTTCTGTACTGTACTTTTTTTTCCCAATAGTAATTGGGCTCATGTCATTGATGTGTTGTAAAAGATTAATAAGTTTAATGCTTTTTGTTGGGTTATTTAGAAAATTTATAGCTTCTTGTAACTTCGAGGAGGAATTTAATATGAAAATCCTGTTTTCAGATAGATGCAATTGTATGCTAAATTCCACAAAAGTATCCCTCGAATGAAAGATCATTTTTTATTTTGAGCATAAATCTGACAATGGAAGTGTTTTCTTCGAAGTCTGTTGATTGAATTATTAGCAAATGTTCACCAGCAAAATACCAAGTTACATCAACTAATTCAAAATTAATTTCTTTATTTTGTAACTTCTGATGTAATGATTTAAAACACGTAATCTGATCAGCAGCTATAAACATATCAAGTTCATCGGGTATAATATTACGAACAGATGAAGAAGCTTTAAAGGTTGTTCTTAATGGCGATGGAACACTAGGTATCAAACTAGGTTTTACACATGTAAAAACTGATGGAGGATCACGTAGCCTTTTATGACCAAACTTTATAACTGTAGGATATCCCAATGGAAAGTGTCTTTCGCACACAACTGTATCTGGACTTTCAGGTATATTATCTAGTGGAATAACATTTATCCAACGATTATATTCTTCTTTATCAGAAGGAAGCCGGAAAACTTTTTCTTTATTTTGTTTGTTGTAATTACCATTACAGTTTGTCACGCAACATTTTTTAGGCATTTTTTTGTCTGAAAACTAGATAACAATTGTACTATATTAAAAAAACTTTGTTGTCGCTAGCAGTTATTGAAGATAGTTTTGAAGTTCAATGGCCCCCAGCTCCAGGCTCCGATTTACGCGTTTACGAGGCCTGTTAATACAGAGGGCCATGTATAAAAACAATAACTAATTTTACGGAGCGATAGTTATAAATGACCGCCATTTAAAAACCCTGCGGAAACTTATTTCGAAAAAAGCATGAAGATTTTAACCTATGGAAGACGGTTGAGGATTTTTAATGACATTCAAAAGTAGGTTGCCGATTTTCATAAAAATCCAGACCAAAGTAAAATTTGCGCATGCGTTTTTATAGCCTACTTTTGGATGTTATTAAATATCGATAACCACGAGGTTTTCTTTATTGAAAGATATTTGAAGCTTTTAAATTTGTTTAGTTATTCTAAATTGTATAATGAATAAAAGTATTTTTTCTCTTGATTTAGCACATTCGGTGGGTAAGATTTTATTTTTGATAGTTATTCTTACCTTTTCTAATCTTTACATTTTTACTTTTACTAAAAGTTTTTCAAATACTAGAACATCCAAAAAGGTAAAAGTATTTTGGTTTCAAATACAAAAATAGCTCACTAAGAATGAGTGTTGCATACTAATCATAAATAGGGGAGACCGGGGCTAGTTGGCAGCAGGGGTAAGTTGACGAATTGCGTTTATCTGCAAAGTCTTTCATCAAAAAGTGCCAATAATTTCAGGAAACCTTCTTAGTTGACCATTTCATCTTTCACTGTAGTATTGTGGGGATTTGCGCATGCGCATAAAAGATATTGTGATTTATGTGTTTTTTCCACATTTTTGTAACTTTTACAACTTCTTTATTTTTTCGATTTTTAAAAGCAATTTCATCAAGTACAAGTAAACTTGATTGGAGTTATATCTTGCATGGTTCAGTAAAATCTGTCCAACCATTATTTTTTATTTATATACGTTTTTCAGGGATCGGTAGGGGAGTTTGTGACCAAATAGCTGTCGGGGTTAGTTGGCAAAATTTTGGCGGGGCAAGTTGGCCGTATATATCAACTAAACCCGGTTGCGATTGGACATAAATTTTAACTTTTTCTATAAATTTTGATTTATTTTTTTAAAAATCGATTAGATAGATCACATATATTACATGCGAAACTATAAAAGAAAAACAAAGAGGGCTATAACTCCTCAAAATGTTATAAAAAATGCTGTTGATGCTGTTTTATTAGAAGGAAAATCTATACGAAAAACAGCCAAAGACTTTAATATCCCTGAAAAAAGTTTGTCCCGATACTGCAAAAAGCAACAACGTCATAGTCAGCAAATATCAGGTTACATAAAATCTAGACAGGTCAGTATAAATATATATATATATATATATATATATATATATATATATATATATATATATATATATATATATATATACATATATATATATATAAACTTAATATGTTTTGTATAGTAATTATTATCTCATATATAAGATTTATATATATATATATATATATATATATATATATATATATATATATATATATATATATATATATATATATATATATATATATTTATATATATATATATATATATTTATATATACATATATATATATATATATATATATATATATATATATATATATATATATATATATATATTATATATATATATATATATTTATATATTTATATATATATATATGTTTATATATATATATATATATATATATATATATATATATATATATATATATATATATATATATATATATATATATATATATATATATATATATATATATATATATATTTACAAATAGAGTTCTCAATGATCTTAAAAAACATATAAGTTATATTTTATAACTGTGTATTAGTATGTGTTATAACACATACTAATACAATGTGTGTGTGTGTGTATAACACATACTAATATATATTAGTATGTGTTATGCACACACACACACATATATATATGTGTGTTATATAACACACACACACACACACACACACACACACACACACACACACACACACACACACACACACACACACACACACACACACACACACACACACACACACACACACACACATATATATATATATATATATATATATAGTGTTATTTGTTTTAATATTGATATTGTTCATTTAGGTCTTTACTGATTTACAAGAAGGTCTGTTGGAACAATATGTGACTAAAGCTTCTGATATTTATTATGGACTTTCTCCTAAGGAAGTGAGGAAACTAGCTTATCAGTATGGAAAAGCGAATAGCATAAAAATGCCTCATAATTGGAGTGCAAATGAAGCAGCTGGAGAAGACTGGTTCAGTGCTTACCTCAAAAGGCACAAAAAACTGTCAATAAGAAAACCTGAGGCAACAAGTCAAGCACGTGTTTCCAGTTTTAATCCAACAAATGTTCAAAAGTTTTACAACAATTTACAAACTATTCTTAATCGTTTAAAGTTGGAAAATGGAGATATTTGGAATATGGATGAAACTGGTATTACCACAGTTCAAACTCCAGATCATATTGTAGCAAGAAAGGGTTTTAAACAAATTGGGCGTGTTACTTCGGCTGAGAGAGGCAATTTAGTAACTGTGGCAGTTGCTGTTTCTGCCAGTGGAAATTCAATTCCTCCATTTTTCATATTTCCTCGTGTGAAATTTAAAAGCTATTTTTTAAATGGTGCTCCTGATGGAAGTGCAGGCGCTGCAAACCCATCTGGTTGGATGACTGAAGTTCAATTTTTGCAGTTTTCCCATCATTTTGTCAAATATGCCAGAAGTACAAAAGAACGACCTGTTTTGTTGCTATTAGACAATCATGACTCTCATCTTTCAGTAGAGGCTTTAGATTACTTTAAAGAAAATGGGGTATCGGTTTGTTCATTTCCTCCTCATTGCAGCCATAAACTTCAACCTCTAGATCGAAGTGTATTTGGACCTTTTAAAAAATACACAAACACAGCTTGCGATGCGTGGATGACAATGCACCCTGGTTCCACAATGTCTATTTACAGTTTACCAGGTATTGTGGGTAACTCATTTCCATTAGCATGTACCCCTAATAATATCAAGGCTGGTTTTGCAAAAACAGGAATTTACCCACTAAATGTTAACATTTTTGGTGAACACGATTTTATGCCAGCCTATACCACAGATAGACCACCTCCGAAACAAGACTGTGCTGTGGAAAGTACAGTGCTAAATATAAGTAATGTAATGGATGTTGACTTTACAATATCTGAGAATGACATGTTAAATGCTGGTTGCTCAAAAGATATAAAACCACGTCAAGATATTTCATATTCAAGCAGTAATGATGAACACAGTGCATCTACAGAGTCAACTGTAGTTCTATCGCCTGAAGATTTAAGACCATTCAAAAAAGCTGAACCAAGAAAAAGAGTTAGGGCTAATAAAAGAAGTAGAACCACATCAATTTTAACAGATTCACCAAATATGAATGTTTTAAAAATAGAGAAAGAATCAGCTAAAAAGAAAAAGTTAGCAATTGAAGAGAGAAAACAAGCAAAAAAGTTAAACGAAGATAATATTAAGATGAGTAAAAGATCAAATAGTAAAGGAAGTTTACACTTAATGGAGAAAAGTTTGAATTGTCCAAATAGCTCTGTTGTAGAGGAGTGTTTTTGTTTGGTTTGTGTTGGAATGTTTTCTAAAAGTAAAGCAAGGGAAGTTTGGGTTCAATGCACCCAATGTCACCTTTGGGCTCACGAGTCATGTATAATCGGAAAATCTTTGTTTTTCATTTGCAATAATTGCTGCTAGCCGATTTGAAACTCCATTAGTTAAAAATATTCATGTAATAAAACAATATAAGTTTTAATTCTTATTGTATAACCATAAATTGGGAACACTGTTTTGTTTTGTCACTGTATTTTTTAATTATATTTACTTTCTATTGCTTAAAATGTTACAATGACTTAATCCAAAAGTTTGATGATATTGATAAAAGTATATTTCTGCTATGATTCCTTTAAAAAAAAGGGGCTCGGGGTAAAAATATTATTGAAATACACTTAAATAGGACCTTTAACTTTAGCTTTTATTATTGCGAGTCAACTTACCCCTTGAGTATAAGCAACTTACCCCATGGTGGGGTAAGTTGGCGCAATTTTTTTTTTTTTTTTGAGGGCCCAGAAAGGCCCCACAATATTTTTTTTGTAAATGAATACAACTTTTATAAGTTACCCAAATTCATACTCTTTGAAACTACACTTTTATGTTTTCAAAAAAATGTTTCGTTAGGACTACA